AGCTCATTTTCTTGTTATTATTTTCATACATATTTAGCTATTTTTATATTTCTAGCGAGAAAATGGCAAGGGATATATATGTATATGTATATGTATATACATATATATATTTATATAGATAAAAAGAACACAAATATATGTATATAATAGATTATGTTGCGCAGGCCGCAACAAAATTCCCATTTTGTTAGAATGCAAATTAAAATATTTATGCAAATGCGAGCCGAGGAATACAATAAATTATGCCATAGCAGCAAAGGAATAAAGCTAACAACAAAAAATAACCAAACAAAAAGAAGAAGAAGAAGCAGAGAACCAGATGAAGTAGAAGAAGTAAACTGAATTTATAAAGAAAAAATAGGCAAATGGGCACAGCGGAGCGACAGGCACGAAAACAATTACCTGTTACATGACGAAGAAGCCAATCCCCTTCGTCCTATTATTATTATTATTATAATCATTATCATTATGATTATTATATTTATCATAAATGTTGTCGGCGTCTGTCACAATAATTTGCTGGCTGTAAACAAGTTTTTCGAGGGAAAACAAACAAACAAAACGAGACGAACCAAATTTCGATACACACAAAAGTCAGGCTAGGAATTCGTGACAATGTCGCTGCTAAAAAGAGAACGAGCACAACGGAAGCCGGAAATATGCAAAGCCAAACGCAAGTAAGTCGAGAGACGCACTTGGACAATGGAGACGCATTCGCATTCGCATTGGGCCCACTCGACTTGCCGCAGTTGAGAGTCTTTGCCACACTCTGATTGTTTTATAGGGCCGGATCACGCATACGCCCCGTTTGCCAGCTACTTTAAGCAGTTTGCCAATTAGGTGCCGCTCCAGCTGCTGCTGCTGCTGCTACTGCAGCAATAATAATAAGAATGATAAGAAGAAGAACAAGCAGCAGCAGGAGAGCAACGGCAGCTCTGCGAGAAAGGGGTAGAAAACAAGGCAACACCTTTTTATGGCCGTCTAAAGAATTTAATTAATGCAAGTCTCGTGCGCGCTTTGAAATAAAAGCGCCCGGCCACGCCCACTGACAGACAGACAGGGCGCTCACATACACACGGCAAGTGGAAATTAAAAAGGGAAACGCAAAAAGCGACGCAACTAAAAAATTAATAAATAAAACTGTTAAGCACCAGAGAGAGAGAGAGAGAGAGAGAGAGTTAGACGAATGCTGAATGCTCTTACTGGAAATTGAGTATGTATACATAAAAATATAAAAATAATTGAATATGGGAATTGACATTAGTTAAAAGTATTAGGTGACATATAAATAATAAATAAACAATATATAATAAATCAATAAAAAATAAACAATTATTCATAAATAACTAAAACTCAAGATTAAATTTTTATGTATGTATACTTTTTGTTAATTTTTTGTTTTAAAATTTATGTTGTATTTGCAATTAATAGCTAAATATATATTATTTGCAAATAATTATTATTATAATTATAAATTATAAAAAACCCCATGGTTTGAGCTACATTCAACTCATTTCATTTCCTTATATTCCCTATTGTCTATCTATTATCTATTGAGAGCCTTCGCTCCATAATTTCTACAAGTCTTAGAGCTAATTCTTTCTCCAAGACATATAGCCTATTTATATATATTTATCGTATCCCCATTAACTTTGAGAGTTTCATGTATATCAAAATCATTATCATGGACTGATAAACCGTTTCACTATATTTTTACTGGAATTTCTGATACGATTTAAAATTCGGTAAATATGGATGCGGGCAACATTTTCTTATCTTTGATATGACTTAAGAGATAATCAAGTCGGCCACAGAACACAGAACAGAACGCATTACATGTGCTCGCTCCCTTTCTGTCTTTGTAGGGCATGCGAATGAAAGTCAAATGCTAAAAGTTTCGTTGACAACGCAGACAGGTAAATACCGTGCAGCAGGGGAGCTGGTGGAGCAAGGTGGACGCGCTCTGTCTCTGTCTGCTCTGCTTGGTTCGGTTGTGAGCCATGGCTCTGAAATCCGCTTAGAGATGCGCTTAACAGCAATTATCTTCATTACGCGCGCTGCGCACAAAAGTATGCAATGGTAAACAAGAAACACGGCAAGAAAAAACAACAGAAATAATGAAAAATAAAGAAAGCGACAAAACAACTGTCGGAGCGTAAAGCTCTCAGCTCTCAGCAGGCCAACGACGATTTGATGTTCTTGCAGGAAGCAGAAGTGCAGAATGCGCAGCAATAGAAAACTTCAGTATGCGACTACTACTGGAGGCTTCGCATGGGTATTTAAATATTATTATATATCATGTTTTTGCATATATATATTGTATATGATGTAAACTTGTGTGTCATTAAATGTTGACATTCATAAGTCTGTTTCACACAACAGCCATAACTCCATTTATAGCCTTGGGACTAAAATTGCATTAAATTTGCATTATTTTTGTTTTCAATTAATCAGTTAAATTATTTTAATTAATTACTTTATCAATTATAAACATTAAATATTGTCGCAGGCCACTATAAGATATGCGGGACCAGCACTATGGTTAACCATCGATAGATACACATCTATCGATAGTTAATCATATCGATGGCTGAGGAGGTGGATACTTGGCGTGCCAAACTGAGTAAAGGCAGAAGAAGAGAAAGATGGGCAGTCTCGCAGAGATGTGTTGAAGCTGAAAGAGTTGGGCTTAGATTTGAATTTGTGAAAGAAATTAAAGCGAAATAAAGTAATGAAATATTTTTTAAGCATTAATAAAAGTATTTTAATAAACTATGTACTTCATTATATATAGACACTGCTTTTTGATTTGATATCTTTTGGTTATGTTATTTATAGCCGCTGCTCATGTCAACGCAGAGATCTCAACCTGATTGAAATAAAAAAATTAAATAAGCTATGCATAATAAAAATAAAAATAATAAATAGGTCATTAATTTAAAGCCATAGAATGTTTATTTATTATTATTATTTTTTCCTCTTCATAAATTTAGTTAGATTACCTTAAGTTAATAGCTCCACATTCCATTAGTCTCAGTTATCAGCCAATTACGCAAAATCAAATTACAATTTGCTTCGACTATAAATTCATTAAATCTGGCTGTGGCACTCGGAGACATCTTGAGCCACACTTCACAATATTTATATAGTTTTATAAATGTCAAAAGAAGAAGAAGAAGAAGCAGGAGAAAAAACTGCGCGAACTGTCATAAAGCTGAAGACGTGTTCAAGTTTTATTGCTCGCGGCAAGTGTATATCAAATGAAAGCGAGAGAGAATCAGAAGCAGAGACAGACGAAGCGGCTGGAGCAGGAGTGTGAGTGAGAGGGGTAGAGGCGAAAAAAGACGTGCAGTCGAACAATTAGGCTGACAAGCAGCAACAGCAAAAGCTCTGGCTCTCACTCACTCCTTTTCCCTCTCTCTCCCCCTCGCGCTCTATCACGGTCGCTCACCTGCCGCCTTCACCTTGAGCGGCTGAGCATTAAGCTCTTCATACAAATGCGTCGCTGATGGATGTGTTTCGAGTGGCGCCCGAGAATAATGCCGACTCTCGGCTGGCTGACGTCACCGAGTTGCCTGTTTTGGTCGTCTTCGACTTGTCGCCGTTATCAGTGTAGCTGGCTTGGGCCGGGGGTGAGGGGCGAGAGGCGCTTGCCAGCGCTACAATTGGGTGCGGGGTCTAAGCGATTTATAAAAGCCAAACGGCAAATGGCGACCGTCAAAGCAAAAGTGTTGCAAGCAATTTACGCAATGGCGGCGAGAGTCCCTTTTCTTTTTTTTTTTGTTTGCCCGAGCAGCAAGACAACAACAGATACAATCCTCGGCTCCTGCTCCAGCCAACGGCTTTGCCGACTCCTGCTAACCTGCGCTGCCATTATTGAGTGCGCGCACGTAACTGACATCAGCGTGCTTATAAATCAAGTTGCAAATACTTTTGCCAGCCTCACACACGCTCTCCCTCTTTCTCTCTCTCTCCCTCTTTCTCTCTCGCCCTCTGTTCGTATGAAAACATGGTCACATTCGCATATAAAACTCCATTTTAGAGTTCATGAATTTGGCAACTGACATATTCTCGCACATATGATTAGATTAATGCATTGTATAATGGCTCGAGCAGGCAGCAGCACCACCTCGCACCACCCAGCACCACTCGCTCACTTGTTCGCTACCCTTATGTCATCAACTACACACAGGGCTGGCAATCCCTCACCCTGATTGCTGTGCCTCACACCCTCCTCCCCCCCTCCATTGCTTTGAGTGTGCGTAAATCATAATTTAAATGCAAACGCTTGGGTTAAACACTCGTGCTACACACACACACACACGCATACACTGACAAACTGTGCGCACATCTATCATGCATTTTGATCGCAATAATTGAATATAAATTATTAAATAATGATGAATTATGGAATGCTTGCCTGCTTGCCAATTCAATTGTAAAATGAGCAAAATCTCTTGGCTAAAAAAAGTTGCATTTATTTTTTATAACGATATAATTGTTGATTTGTCAACAAAAACGAGCTAAATGCCAATGCACATACATAAATACAATATATTTATATACGTATAAAGATTTGATGTCATGAATCGGGAGCAGAAGACTTTTTGCATTTATTGAAATTAGCTTTCCACGTTCGTCCAAGTTCAAATATAAAGCATTAGCCAAAATAAAATAATAATAATAAACAAGTAAGCAAGTAAGAAAGGAAACATTTCCGGGATTGGGGTTCATAAGTCCTGCGCCGCGTCAGCTCAAGGGGAAATCCGACGAGAGAAAAGTTTCGAATGAAGGAAGTCAGCCTTAGCCCGAGCTTGAGCTGTTCTCGGCAGGCGTGTAAAAGTATCCAAGAAGTGGTATTAACTGAGTCCGTGCTGATGGATTAGATGTGTAATATGAGTAAATGTGGCAACGTCAGCAGCAACGGTAACGGGAAAGGCAACGGCAAAGGCGGTGCCAGAATATGAACGAGAAAGAGGGAGGGGGAGATTGGAGAGGTGTAATGCCTGGTTAGGCGATAAAGTTCTGGTCCTTGGATACCCAGTTGAAGACAATGCTTTGGAGCAGCTGCATCATATCCTGGAACTGCACGTTCCACACATTGACGAAGAAGAACACGCCCTGCATGAAGTTGAGGCCGCGATACGGCTCCAGCGCCAGCATCGGCTCGATCGAGGCATTCAGATTGATAATCATGTGATCGAAGAGCCGTCTGTCCTCCACATCGCGCAGCGAGTCCATCGGTATCAGGCCGAGCTCCTTCACCACCAAACCGCCCATCGGGTGCACGCTGGTGCCGAGCAGCATGATGAAGTCGCAGTTGTGCTCCGCGGCGAACTGCTGCACGGCCAGTTGGGCGAACTCGAACGAGATGAAACGGGTGACGGCCATGGGGAAGCAGCACTGGGCGACGCGCACCAGGTGGATGCCGTTGTTGGCGCGCAGCAGCCTGAACTCGCGCCGCAAGATCTGCGGCAGCGTCAGCTCGTTCAGATCGAACATGGCATTGATCAGCGCGTCGTAGAGCTGCGCGCGCTGCGACATCTCCAGCTGGCCCAGATGCTTCTCCAGATACAACAGCAGCTGGTAGTCGCGCACTGTGTGCAGCTGATCGATCGGGTCCATCATAAAGTTGCAGTTCTGCAGCAGCAGCCCGGCATGCAGCAGCTCGAAGACGCGCAGGCAGCGCACATTCACATAGTTATAGATGGGGCTGTCGTAGCGCTCGATTATCAGGGCGGCGCAGGAGCGCATCGGGTGCATGATGCGCTGACAGTAGATGGGCAGGCGGGCTGCCTCGCACTGATACGGCCGGAAGTCGTAGACCTCCTCGGTGCAGTAGTGGAACGGGCTCACATGATGGCTCACCAAAATGAAGCGGCAGCGCAGCAGCAGTTCCTCGGGCACATCGTCGCGAAAGACCAGATGGCGATCCGGTGTGATCGACTGCTTCGCCAGCAGGAAGCGCACCTCTGTTTTGCTGGCATAGTCGCGTCGCATCATATTCAATACGGGCATAAAGTTGTGATGCAGTGTGCCCGGATTGCGATAGCGCAAATAGGCAATGGCCAGCGTGCTCACCACAGAGTCCAAGTCGCAGCTCTCGTTCGACAGAGCAATGTACATGAGCTCTGGTCCGCCGGTGGGGCGCTGTAATTCCAATGCGGCTTAGCCATGCAATAACAACAACAATAACAACAACAACCAATCCCTACTCACCCACTTGGTCAGACTTTGTGAGCTCTCCAAGAAACTCAAAAAGTCCTTCTGGAATTTCTCGTCAATATTTTCCATTATAAGCACACAGAAAATTACAACAAAGCACGGCGGAGCTTAGTCGAATGAAAGTCGAATTTGTTCTTTCAGATATTGCTCTCTTCTCAGCAGCTACTTGATTCAGTTATTATTACTGCCAATGAAGTTTGATGTATTGTGTGCTTTTTGTTTTCGTGTGCTCGATTAATTGTGCTAGGCCTTGGCCGATGTCTCCTGCTGCTTCTGTTGCTGCAGGTGCGATTGACAGCGAGAGATTTGCGAAACTTTTGCCGGTCGAGCGGGGGGTCGTACTAAGCTGACACAGCAAGTCAAATACAATTTTCGATGGTTCTACTTCAGCACTTATTTAGGTTATCGAAAACAATAATCGATAACAGCAATGAACTTGATTAACAATTGTAAACGACGCTGAACTCTTATTGAAATTATTGGCTGTCGTGTTGGGGAAATTTTAACGATAAGCTCAGAAAGGTCAGATTAATTGACCGACATAATCAATTATTTTATTTGTGTTTAAATTTGACAAAAAAATCAAAGCAAACAATATTATTTAAAACAAAATTGGTCGTTCATTAAACACTTTTAGGCAATTCTTATTGACAAAATATACATAGTTCATATTTTAATCGTTTGGCTTAATAAAAGCTTTTGCCAAAAATCTGAATGAACATATTATCATTGCTCTGAAGTATTTACGGAATGAATTTATTTTATATACTTCTTTATTTTTATTATTTTCATTTATTTTTAAATATTTATTATATATTTGTATTTTTATTTACTTTAGTTTATATATTTTTATAACATCAATCAAATAATTAAAGAATAGATTTAGACTGATTTTGGAATTCATATTAGAATTAAGTGAATTTAAATGTTACCAAAATAAGTAGTTAGCGAATACAGAATTCATATAATTCTGAAGTTTTTGGATCTCGTGAATTTCGTTATTTCGTGAACTTATATGTTTATCGAATGTGTTAATATTATTCGGATAAAATATCTTATCGATATATCGGCTCATGCATAGCATTGGGTGAATTTATTCGAGTGTGATCACTAACAGTAAACACATAGACTGACGAGGCTGCCAGTTGGTTGCGATTGATGTCAACGTGTTGGTGAAAAATCAGGCAGTTAGTTGAGGAGCAAGAGGAAGAGGGGCAACAGTGCAGGGGCAGGCTGCAGAAATAACCGACATATTTATTTATGTATAGATTTCAAATAACAATTTCACACTTTCCAATTTGAACGAATTTAACGAATTTAAATAAGAATATTATATTTCTTTTTTAGGTTTTATATACTTCATATTTCGTTAATTTAATATTAATTTTTAATTATTTCATTCTTTTTTTTTTTTTTTAGTTATATACAATATTTTATATATTGTTATTTTATGATATTTTTTCATTACTAAAATGAATTTTTCATTTGATGAATTCTAATATTCTGAATATTTTAAATGCAAATTTAAATACATTACTGTTATAATTAATAGAAACACGACGGAAATAACAGGCTTAGCTTAACTTTCACTAGTTCATCATAGAGTACGGCGGCATACGTGTGTGTGTGTGTGTGTGTGTGTTTATGTGTGTGAGTGTGCTTTCAGTATGCCATTTGGCTTGGCGCAGTTCACGCACAGTAAGTCACGCCGCCGTCTTGTCTGTCAAATGTGGTCCGAATTGGCTGACTTTTCACATTTGACCTGCCCACGTAACGCGTTTGCCACACACACACACACCCACACACACGCACATGAGGGACTCTGTGTGTGTGTGCGCATTTGCAGTTATAGTTGGCACTCTGCTGTGCCGGGAGGGGCGGGGATGGGCGAGTTGGCAGAACGTGTGATTTATAATGCTCGCTACGTTGCTGCTTTGGTAAATTACTTTCGCACACGTTGAACTTAAACAACATCACATATTTTTGACGCACAAAAGTTGAGCGATTTTTATTTTATTTCGCCATTTATGAAGAGCAGAAAAACGGGAAAAAAGAAAAAACAAAAAGCTAAAATCAAATAAAAGCGTTGCAGTCGGGCGTTAACGACTGCATAATACTCATTCCTGACTTAAATTCTGTTGTATCAATTTTACGATTTGCCACGTCCCCAATATATCAACAGTAAGTTGAGAGTTTCATACAGTATTAGATGAATCAGCTATCCTATTGGGTAATTGGTTATCTTATTGGTTAACACTTTATAATTCCAGGGATACAAATTGCCCCACGCCAATATGCTCAATTCAGTTCCGTGAATGAGTATGAACATCGACAACAAGAACTTAAAGCTGGGCTGCTTTAACAATGCTGGTACGACGCGGAATACTGAAGCGCAACAAGGCATGCCATTAGGTGCTGGCCAAGTATTTTGATTTTGTGGCACGCGCTCAGGCGCGGCCAAAAGTCACTTAGACATTAGCCCCCAAGTCGAGCCCAAATGACCTTCAGATGGCTGAGCAAACATATATACATACCGACATGCATATATACATACATACAAACATATACAAGTATATACATATATACTCCGATAGTTGCTGTTCCGTTGCTGCTGCGCATCGTCCCATTTAAAGGCAAACATTATGTTGAATATTCAATTTAATGTAGCTTATAAATCATGTAGATCCTTTTGCTGCTTAACGCCTGTCCGCTGTCTCGCTGCGTCCATTTCCCATTCCTCACTCTCGACTCCCCTCTCTGCCTTGCCCTTTTTCTTGATTTCGTTTATTCTCTGACAGTTTTTGTTTGGTCCTTGCCTTTGGCCACTTTCAAATTCAAGTAGTTTCCTTATCGCTTCACTGATGGCTGGCTCTTTCAGCTCTCACATATTGATAACTCCTTTCAGTTTGATTAACTGGCTAGCAGGCGTGCACAGCCATCGGGGCGTTGACCAACACTGACACAGCACAAGTGCCAAATGGAAAACAAAGCTACTTAACAGCAGAGAGCATGCCGTAGATAAGCTCTGCTATGCATGTATGCCTCCTGCCAGCACTTCAATTACACCCGAAGCAAACTAATTAACATATTGGATTAGTCTGTTTAGCTTAATGTAGATACAAGCATATATCTGTATATATGTATGCATGTATATACATATATGTGTGTGTGGCTTTTTGGCTTTTTCATTTTCTAAATGTGTCAATAAAACCTGTTGGATTATGTTAATATAGCTGGAAATTAGGGAGGCCAACTGCAAACAGCCTTAAGCTGATTCCATTTGCAAGTCGAAACAATAGATGTAGAATCGAATATAAATCATATATTTGTAGTGTAGATTAGTTTATATTTCATTTTATATTTGAACTATTTGAACTAATTAAATTTAAGTTGAACTAATAGAACTACTTTTCAAATTAAGCCGTTTTCTTCGAGTTAATTTAAAAATTGCATTCAGAATTTGCGTAAGGTAAATTTTAAAACACATTTCCCTAAGAGGCAACAAAAATCTAAAATAAAACAGAAATATTTTATGTAGGAAATATAAACACTGAATATTTTTTTGACTATAAAAAAATATATTCAATAATATCTCAAAATATTTAGTAATATTTTAACAAGTATTTTAAAAAATGTTTTTTTTTTTTGTTTGATTTCAAAGTATTTTAAAATTTCTTTTGAATGTAAAGAATGGCCTGAAAGAATTATATGAATATTTGGAATATACTTGAATTTTTTTGAAATACTATATGATTTGTTATATTAGTAATTTCAATTGGTTTTAGTTATAAAAATATGCTAACAAAATATTTTACATATTTTATTTATTTTTAGAGTTGAGTTTTTTAATATTGAAATAAAATGCTCTGATCGTTTCATATAATTACAAATATACTTTTAAAAAGGTTAAAAAATGAATTCGTTTTTTTTTTTTTTTTTTTTTTAATATTTAAAATTAAAAACGCATGATAAACGCCCGCGGCGTTTTTTAACTGCTTTACAGAAATTAAAAAATATCATAAAATCATAATGTTAATAATAAATAAATAGCTTAGGTTCAATATGTTTTATATATATCTTATAAGCGTATATTTATATAAATTATATTTATTTATATAAATTAACGTTAACTAAAGCAAGCCCATACAATATTTCAGTTTCATTTAAATTTAAATCTAAATGGATTTCTACTAACCGTATCAGCTAGACGGGCTTTCAGCTGTTTTTTTCGTATTTCCCTCTGCGGAAATGTGGAAAGTTTATGCACTTGCTTTACACTCGATTGTCTGGGTGTGTGTATTTGTATAACGGGTTTTTGTCTGGTATTTGGTTTGGTATTTGTTGCATTTTTGAGCACTGCTCGCTAATTAAGCATACGCACTGTGGTGCTGCCGATTATTTCTGTTAGATCAACAAATTTTGGCACAACTCAACTTTCAATTCGCTTCAGATGCTGTTTCGGGAAATTCACGAGAAAAAAAAATGATCACAAAAATTGAATGTATTATACATATGTATATACTCTTCTCTGCTTCAACACAATTAATTAGATATACTAGAAAACCTTAAGTTGCGTGCACAGGCAACAATTTGATTGTTAAGAGAGCGGGCGGCCGTTAGACGCGTCGTCGACGCCGTTGTCGTCGCTGTCGTCGTTGTCGTTGACGTTTTCGTTGTCGTAGTCGAAAGCACGTACCGTTATGCGCTATGCTGTGTGTGTCACTCTGCAGCGAGAAGTGAAGCAACAAATAGCGGCAGAGTTCAACGTTAGACTGAATGGCGACTTGGTGCGAGCAGCACGGCACAGCCAGTGTGGTGAGTTTGCCGTGGGCAGGCCGCTGCCAGCCTGCCTGCCAGTGTGGTGAGTTGAGCGCAAGCCAGCGAGAGAGCAAGAGAGCGCGATTGGCGAATTTGTGCTCTTTCGAGTTTACAAGCAGCCTTCTCTGCGTCCTTACGATGCGCTGCGCTAATCGCAGTTGCTGCTGCCGCTGGCGGTGCTGTTGATGTTGCTGATGCTGCTGCTGCTGCTGTCGATGCCTCTGCTGCTGCGGTTATATTAAATCTGTCTCATAATTGTAACGCGTGGTCGTTGAGACCCCCCC